ATGTCAATTACAAATTCAGTCATATGTATTGGGTTTCAACTGCTGCCCGAGCTGCATATCTACAACACAGTATTGTTGGTCATGATAAACACGTCCTGTCACTGTTGCTGTGTCCCAGAGAAATCAATTTAACGGTGACATCCAAAGTGGAAACACATTCGTTTATTCTCTAACTTCCTGGAAATCGCTCAGATCCTGACACAGTCCAGATACACCATACATCATTCTGCTCTTGGGATGCGCAAAATGACTCAAAGCACTGTGTGTGAAGTCTGTAACATTATCCTGGCAGTGCTTTTAGATTGATTGTTGGATGAAACACTATCATTGCATTCTAAATATAAACAGGCTAGTCCAAAATGCATGTTTTATGCATTATGATTAATATTCTTCTTCTATGCAATTCACTCGATCTTGCAAAATCAGATTTGTCATTCACTGCTGAGTTCTAGTCCCCTTTTTTGGAAATTGTGAATTGCATTCTTTTGAATAAGTACTTAGTGACCATTAAAAACGTATGTTCTATATAGTGTCAATCATTTGTCATATGACCTAATATCAACACCTCTCCCATGGCCTCATGGGATAGAGTGTCCAATGTATGTGCACTTTGTAATCTTGCTGGAAATAATAAGTCATCATTTCGCCTACTGTGAATTCAGACATACTAATCTTTTCACATACTGTTTCTCGCTATATAGTGGAGAAGTATGCATACAGTATTCGCATACAACCTTACTTCATAATCATTAAATCAGTCATGAGTTGAGTAATATCCAATAGTGTGGTCATTAGTGTTGATTCTAATACATTAGGTTATTTGGAGTGTAAAGCTTCTGTAATTCTGACACATATACATCGGTGCACACGATATTGACAAGGTGGCCCGTTCAGTAACCATTAAATGATTTAAGAGACTCAAATGAGCATGTGATCCCATCCTGCTGCTGAAAATCGTTCAGTGCACAGCTGTGATTGCTGATATTGTGGTGGAACAAACTGTAAGAAATATTGTGTATTTTTGATTGTTTTTCATCTCCCATGGGCGTGATGTTTAGAGATGTGTGTACATACAACCTCACACAACTACACAATGGATGGCTAAACTGCATGTTTGTGTGTGTCTAAACTAGCACATTTGTATTTGTGGCAAAGAAAATGGGAGGAGAAATGAGTGTCTGTTTATTGTAGAAACAAACAGTAAAGGGTTTAACTCATGCAGTGGGTAAACTTTACGAGTCATGTGTTTGTTTCATGGGTCGAGTGGTGTAATGGAAGAAGTGGATCGTTCATATTCATTGCAGACAAATGTATTTATTTATTTATTTAGGTTTGTCTGTTTCATTTATGTAGAGAACAGAGCATGAAGATCAAGCGTTCTGGTTGTTTTGGGGCTCGTATTTTCTATGAGTAAAAACACCTCCATGCATCAAACACCAGATCCTACAAACTAAACTGTGTTGTTCCATCAACACTTTAGAATGGATGTTTTGGTGGATAAAATCAGTCATCCCAATTTGTAAATTGTTGAGAGAAACTCCCACCCACGGCACATGGGAAAATGGATCTTGTGCGTGCATTTAAATTAAATAAGGAGTTCAATATTGCCACCATATTTTACTTTTTTTTTTTTTGTTTTGTTTTTTAAGAATTTGCTTCAATTCATTACATGAAAACTGCATCTGTTTCTAGCACTTTTTCATTTCAAGATTATTGTGACTCCGGCAGCAGGGCTGGGTGGTATGATGATATATACTGTATACCGTGCAATGGTAGAATTGTGTCAGGCAGTAGATATTTTGTTGCATCATTTATACTGCTGTGGAAAATATATTTGTGTAGCTATCAGTGGGCAGGACTGCTTTGCATTATTTACACATGATAGTGACAAAGAAACAATGAATAATACAAAAATACAGAGCTGGATGGTTCTCAGACAGTTCAAGATGAAGCAGAACTTGTTATTAAAAGGTGTCAGGCACGACAAAATTATTTTTTTAAAGAATCATACCTTGCCACATTCAATTATAATTCATCGCACATGCAGTCACGTGTATATCGACTATTTTACAGTGGCTTCAAATGTGGCGAAAGTATTCTTTCAGAATTTAGAGTCAGATCTATATAATTTAGAGTCTATCATTACTATCTTTATCGTTTCGGACTAATGATTTTTTTTTTATTAATATTAAATGCACATTATTGTTAATGCATATTTTTGGATTATCCAGTAAATTAAACATTTTACAAATAAAATGCAAAAACCATTATTTATAATGTGATATAAGATTAGGTCATTTTGCCAACTACTATGTGGTTTGGATAGCTTCCAGTGTTGCCATGTCTACTTTTTAAGTGACTTTGGGCATTTTATTTTTTTCTTATAGACTTACTTCAACAGTAGAGTCATCTTTTTGGGATCTTGGCCTTTAAAACACAATACAATGTAAATATGTCTGTCAAATTTCCCCACCTGCTGTTTGAACCACACGCTATATTATGTCTTTATTAACTGTGCAGTTTGTTTCTCCTTTCATAACATTTCAAATTATTGCATCATCTTATTTAATTGTCACTTCTTTCACCTGTTTAATTTTAAAACTGTTTAATGCACATTTTATGTCAGTTTATGCTACAATACAAAATATATATGTATGTATGTATATATATATGTATGTATGTAAGTAAGTAATAAATAAATAAATACCTTTTTTTTATCCTCGGCAAAATAGACAGGGGCAATGTGTGAGTGGGTCAAAGGTCTTAGAAAAATATTGAAGAGAGGATCCCTACAAATATTCAGCTCTTGTATATAAATACTGTGGCACTGACTCAATATCTGACCTTGGTAACTGACCTTGATAAATAAC